ACCTTTCCCCACTCAACAAAATATATCCCCACTCTTTGGACTTGTAATATTTTTACCGTTTTCTTTAGTTTCATTCACTTGTCATCATACTCCAAACTTGTAAGTGGGATGCTTTATGCATCACCGTCGACCACCCCAAAGCATAATTGATCCATATATCAAGCCATACCCCAAACTTGTAAGTCGGTCGCTTTTGTATCGCCATAAACCTTTCTGTTCTCCACTTAAAACACTTTCATAATCAAATTCTCAAACCTCAATCCAATGTCGAGTTGTACTTCCAAAGGTGCTTTCATAGTAATCTTGGATGGTGTTTTGTTTAGACCGTTGGTTGTTTAGACCAATTGTCTAAAAGACTCGTCCTCCACGCATAAAAAACCTAATAAGTGAACCTTGATTCACATCACCTTTTCATAAGAAATTTTTTTGGGATGAAATATGATTGGTTGAGAATCGCTTGTTCCTCCAATTTCTAGTATTTGGATCGTTGGTTGTCTAGACCTATTGTCCAATACTGATCACCCACCTAAAAACGACTTTAAATCATCAAACTTCTTTTCACCCTTGTGTGACTTTCAAACTCTTTTTTCATAAAAAATAATGTGTCTTAGCCATTTCAATACGAAAACAAACACAAAAACTTAGTCTCTCAGATTAGCAAAACAAGTCAAAGTTCAAACTTTTAAAATGTCTAATGCATCATTCTTCTAAAAACAACCAAACAATTTGTTTTTTAAGAAGAACTACAAAGCTCTGACTTTCCAATTGCATGAGGGAGTACGTATGCACAAGATTTAAAGATCTTGTCGGGTTCAATAAAGCAAAAAATAAAACCCGTCTTCTTTCTCCTTTTTTGACCACTAAGTAGAAGATTGCAACTATCACTCTAGTAAACAAACACACGCTAACTAAATGGTTCCCATCGAGTAATGGATGTGAGGGGTGCTAAAACATTCCCCTTGCATAACCGACTCCCAAACCTTCTCTTGGTTGCGATGACCAAGTTTATTTTCTATTGTGGGTTTTATTCGACCTTTTTCCGTTCCTTTGGAATAAATAAAGATCAATGGCGACTTTATTGTTATATTTCAAGCGTGCGATACGCTCGAGTATTTTTTTTTCCCGTGATACGTTTCTATTGAGAAACAAAAGGTAAAGATGAATTTCCTATTTAAGACAAGGAAAATCTTATCACAACAATCTCAGAACTCAAGGAAGACACCACATTTATGAATTCTAAGCTTGAACATATGACCATGTCAGTTCACATGTTGAACAATGGGTATGATACCCTTAATGAAATCCTTGGGGTAGGAAAGGTGGCGAGAGATATGAAAGGAATTAGGTTTGATTACAGCTCCATGAATGCAGAAAATAAATTTGTTCCCCCTTAACATATTCCCATTAGAAATACCTCAATAAATGGTCGTGTGCAACAAGTATGAAAATGTAAAGAGGAGATTATAAGTCACATTACTCACACTTTGCTAAGACTTTCCTCACATGAAGATTTGGATTTTGATAGTGGCGGCTCCAAGCACATGACTGGAGAGAAGATTTATTCGAAAGAGGTAAAACCCTATTCTAGTAGCTATGTTACTTTTGGTGATGGTACTAGAGGCAAGATCATGGGAAAAGGAAACTAGAGTGTCCATACCTCCTTTCTCTAGATGATTTTCTTCTAGGTGAAGGTTTACCTTCAAATATCATAAGTATCTGCCAATTGTGTGATCAAGAATTACACATTAACTTCAATCATTCTGAATATGTTGTCAACAATAAAAATCGGGTACAAATAATGAAGGGTATCAGATCATCAAACAATTGCTACATGTGGAGTTCCCAATCAATGAACCAACCTCCAACATTATTAATCACTAAATAGGTTAAAACTAAGTTGTGGCACAAGAAAGTGGGTCACCTAAAACTCCAAAGCATGATGAATATTATCTCTGAAAAAGATATTAGTGGTTTTCGTAACCTCAAGATTGATGAATGATAAATTTATGGTGACTGCCAAATAGGTACACAGACTAAGATGTCACACAAAAAGGTGCAACTTTAACTATGAGATGTAATCTAAGAGAGAGAGAGTGTGTGTATGTGTGTGTGTGTGGGGGGGGGGGGGGGGGGGGGGGGTGAATTAGATTTGCTGAGTTTTGCATGTTATTATGCAAAGATTCTTCATTTTTAATTTTTCCATAAATAAGTTATTAAATTCTAAATGTAGAGTGTAGGAAATTAAAAAGCAATAATGTAAAATGACACAAAAATATATCTTAGTTTCCCTTATAATTAAGGGTACATCTAGTCCCTTCAAACCTTGAAAGAATTTCAATTACGTTAGATCTCTGTACCAATCTTACACCAAGACCACTCTTACATTCTTCTAACATAAACAAGAAAGCACACCACTTTCTTTTTCACGACACTTAGAGAAAGCACACTACTTTCTTCTTCAATTGCTTGCCACCATTGGTGATCAAGTTACAACAGTATGATGATTTTGTATAAAAATGATTTTGGACAATTTCCAAGAATGAGTAATTGATCTTATCTTTCAATATACAATTCACTATGTTTAAAACTTAAGTGCTCAAATTTTTTGATGAAACTTTGTAAAGGTATATGAAATTATGCAACAAAAAAAAGTTTCAATGATATTTGAGAATGAACACTTGAAATGAATTGGAATTGTTTGCAAAATTGTGAGAAAGAGGTAATTTGAAAATTTCATATATTTTGCCTTAAATACACCCTAGGGTATCTCTTGGATTTGATGCAACTGTTTGGATAAATTCAACGAAGAATTGCATATAATTGAATACACAATGGTTCAAAATTTCTGGCATAATTGGTATTTAACTGATAACATATTATTGCGGCGCAAAAAATACCAGAACATACTAATGCTTGAAATAACTACCAATTCGTCACCGAACTTTTCATTTTAAAAGGAAACTTCGATAAAACCCTTCTAAGGAAGAAATGATCATTGCAACCAAATCGGGTTCGGGAGTCGGTTATGCGAGAGGAAGATATTAACACCCCTCACATTCATTGTATTCAATAGGAACTTTCTAATTAGTTATAGGGAAATGAGTGTTTAAAAGTTGTTTGCAGTTGTCTATTTATTAAGGGATATGTACAAAAGTGAAAAAGTAAGTTTTTTTATTAATTTTCCAAACAAGATTTTGAAATCCTGCTCCTATGTATTCTCAAGTGTAATGGAAAAATCAAAGCCTCGTAGTTCATGGTAGAAAATATTTGTTTGTTGTTTGTTTTTAATTTTGGAAGAGTTTATTTGATTATTGATTGCGCAAGGGAAAAACGTATTAAGTTGATGAGTTATGATTGATTTTAGATGAGAAAGAGAGTAATCAACTCTGGAAAAGCGTACTCTAGGCATTCAATCACTAAAACGAATGAGTGTATATTCATCCATTTTTAATCCTAAATTAATGTGAAAGATATTTGCGGAAGACAAGTCATCGTTCAAACAAAGCATGCACTAAGTCCTCGATCATAAATGTACAATTACTCATTCCTCCCTATTTGAATTAGAAGTATATTTACATAAGATTTTAATTAAAAAAAAGCAAAAATTATTTGTATTTAAACTTATTTTTATTATTTTTGGTATTTTACAATATTTCATTTTTTATGATTTTTTATTTTTATTGTATTTTTTATGATAAATAAAAACAAACAAATAAAAACAAATAAACACAAATCAAATAACTAACATCCAATTATTTAAGGATAGAAAAAATAACATAATGATAATACTTAAGGAAAGAATAAAAAACATATCTAATAACTAAATAAGATAGATCTTAGTTAAAGTTTATTTTATAGAGAAGAAAATATTGTAAAAAAATTTAACATCTTTAGACCCATAGTAACTATACTTCATAAGAATATAAAAATTAAAAGGAAGAAACAAAAAAACTAAAACTTAAAATATTCCAAATAAACAAGCATGTATAATACCTATCTTTTCATATCACAACAAAACAACAACAACACAATAAAGATCAATCTCAAACACAATCCAATTCAAGAATAACTATTCCTAATAAAGATCAATCAATTTTAATTTATTTGTTCAGATTTTTGTCAATTTGAGAGAATCAAAACAAAAGTTTCAAAAAAATCTACTTGTTCCCAAAGATAAAAAATGAAATAAACAAAAGGATTTTTTTTTGTATTTTTTAATAAAAATAAATCTAATTAGGTTCAAACCCGCTAATAAAAATAAATGCAATACGATTTGTACCCGCGACCCTACACCAGATGTCCCTGCATATCTACCAACTCAGGTGACTTACTCATATACATTTTTTTGATTTTTTTATTAAAATGCTCCAAAAAGAAATATAGTATAAAACACGCGGACATAATTTAGGTTACGACAATTGCCCTTACTTAATCACCTTTAATCCGAGAGCATAAGTGACGATAGTCTTTATGTAATCATGGTGGAAGATAGATAAACACGAAAGGACCAAAAAAATTGTCCACCGAGGTATGAAAATAAATATGAAAGTAAACGACTAGATAGGATAGGGTAAAAGATCATCCCCTACCTGAGGGTTGGTTCTTAGATCAAAGACAAAAATATTGTCGCCTTCCCAAGGCTTAGTGCTTAGATCTATCATAAAGAGATGGTCGCATTCCCGAGGGTCATTAGATCAAACGCAAAGAAATTGTCGCCTTCCTGAGGATCGATGCTTAGATCAAACAAAAAGAAATCACCGCCTTCCCGGGGATATGTGCTTAGAATGAATGTAAAGTGATTGTCGCCTTCCCGAGGGTCGATTCTTAGATCGAACATTTGATCGTCTCCTTCCCAAGGGTAGGTACTTAGATAAAACTTAGAGATATCATCGCCTTATCGAGGTTCAATGCTTATATTAAACATAAAAGATCATCGCCTTCTCAAGGATTGATGTTTAGATCGAACATAAAGAGATCATCGTCTTTCCGAGGGTCGGTGCTTAGATTGGAAAAAAAAGATCGCCATCTTCCCGAGGGTCGGTGCTTAGATCGAACATAAAGAGATCTTCGCCTTCTCTAGGTTCGATGCTTAGATCTAACATAAATAGATTGTCACCTTCTCGAGGGTCAGTTCTTAGATCGAACATAAATAGATCATCTCCTTTCCGAGGGTCGGTTCTTAGGTCGAACATAAATAGATCATCTCCTTTCTGATGGTCGATGCTTAGATTGAACATAAAGAGATCGTTGCCTTCCAGAGGGTCAATGCTTAGATCGAACATAAAGAAATTTTCGCCTTCCCAATGGTCAGTGCTTAGATCGAACATAAAGAGATTGTCACCTTCCCGTGGGTCAGTTCTTAGATCCAACATAAAGATATTATCTCTTTCCCGAGGGTTGGTGCTTAGATCCAACATAAAGAGATAGTTGTCTTCCTGACTGTTTGTTCTTAGATCGAACATAAAGAGATCTTCGCCTTCCCGAGAGTAGTTTCTTAGATCAAACATAAAGATATTTTTGCCAACCTGAAGGCTGATACTTAAATATAAAAGGAAAACGGTCGTCTTCAATCCAGATATTAATTCTTAGATCAACAAACAAGATGTCGCCAACCAAGGCTCGATGCTTAGATCAATAACTTGATCATTATCAACCTGAAGGTCAATACTTAGATCAACGTAAGGATACTCGTTGGGGATATGAAAGGTCAACACCTACTCATGAATTAGTATGGATCATTTAAGATGACCATCAACTGAGGGAAATTCCAAAAAGGACTTACTAGGGAGCCAGCTTGTTGGGAAAGACTTTCAAAAAGGACTATACGAGGAAGTTACTCACTGGGGAAACCAACAAAAATTCCTACCGAGCTAAGAACTTATTTGGGAGATTACAAATGACTTAGTTAGGGATTAAAGGATATCATTTACTCCAATCGCTTATGCTGGTAGGTTGATCGACCAATGACATATTGTCTTAGAACTAACAGGGAAAATATCTTCTAAATAAGTTCTAACGGGGAAGACTACCGCTGAGGTTCCTTGTGGGATATTCAAAAGAAACTCACTAGGGAATCTACTACTGAGATTCTGCTGAGAACATACCTACTACCGAAGTTTACTATAAAATCTTCTACGAAGGTAACCCAGAGAATCTACTGTTGAGATTCTGATGAGAAAATACCTTCCGCTGGGGTTTAGTGGATAATATTCTGTCGAGATCGACCCGAGAATATACTGCTGAGATTATGCCGAAAACATTCCTACTAACAAGGTTTACTAGAGAATATTATGTCGATATCGACCATAGAATTTAATACCTAGATTCTGATGAGAAAATATTTTCCACCGTGGTTTACTAGAGAAACTTTTGTTGAGATCAACCAGGGAATCTACTGTTGAGATTCTCATGAGAAAATACCTTCCGCCGAGGTTTCTTGGAGAATCTTCTTCCGAGATTAAATAGAGAATCTACAACTGATATTCTAATGATAAAATACCTTTTGTCGGGGTTTACAAGGGAATATTCTTCCGGTATCGACCAGGGAATCTACTACCTATATTATGCTGAAAACATACTTACTACTAAGGTTTACTAGAGAATCTTCTGTTGATATCTACCAGGGAATCTACTGTCGAGATTCTCAAGAGAAAATACTTTACGTCAAGGTTTATTGGATAATCTTTTGTCGAGATCGACCATGGAATATACTACCGAGATTCTCATGAGAAAACACCTTCTGCCTAGGTTTAATGGAGAATATTCTTCAAAGATCTACCACAAAATCTACTATCGAGATTTTGATGAGAAAATACCTTTCGTCGAGGTTTATTGAAGAATATTCTGCCACAATCGACAAGGGAATCTACTATCGAGATTTTGCAAAGGGTACCTACTACCGAGGTTTGATGTCTGGGAAATCTTTTATTGAGATTAATCGGAGAATCTACTACTGAGATTCTATGAGGCATACCTACTATCGAGGTTTATTGTTTGGGAAATCTTCAGCCGAGATTCGTACGAGGGGCACCTACTGCCGAGGTTTACTGGAAAATCTTTTGCCGAGATTTACAAGGGAATCTACTGTTGAGATTCACTGAGGAATAACATAGAGTAGATGACTGATGGCAATGATGATTATATTAGATGTGTAAGAAAAATGGTTTATTCTTATGTGTTATGATTGAATATGCTTTTGTGTTGTGCATTTTAATTTATGCAAGAAATATAATGATTAATCAATGCATGTATTGGGGTAATGGATGATTTGATTTCTAGGAGAGAAATTGACTTAAAACAATTTAATTTCCAGGAGAGAATTGGGCCTGGAATGATTTTCGAGATGTGAATAGGGCTTGAAATTATTTTCTAGACGAGAATTGGACTTTGAAGATGGGAATCACAAGATGAGAAATGAGCTTTGAATTACCAAGTGATGCTAGGTTTTGAAATGCCAATGAAAATCGGGATTTGATAGACCTGAATGGCATAGTACCGATGATATCCAGCCTTCGAGAATAAGGGAGAGCACCATACATGACTCTTGTTAGGCACGATAAATGAATATGCTTTTATGCATGAAGTGTGATGACTGATCGATGCATGCAATGTGTTGATCTTGGGTTGTGTCGCCGAAGATTGGGCCTTTTGGCCTTAGGTGTTGGGTGCCAAGCAAGGCTGGACTTTGTGAGATGTCAATAATGGTTGGGCTTTTGTGGTAAATGCCAAGTGAGATTAGTTTTTTTTTGTAGATGTTGGATTCATATTATTGGAATATTCCAGATGAATTAGATGATAGGCATTGTTTGAAGCTAGAGCGAAGCGACATGATAATGTATGGAAATGATTTGAATGTTTCAACAAGTTCCCCTGTGGTGGGAAATGTAACGGTTAAGACTATGAAGTGTTTCTTGCAACAAGGCTTCTTGTCAAAAGGTGGTAGGATGTGGTGCTAGCATGATATTATGACACTCATTTTGAACTCAACAGTTGTTGATGTAAGACAGAGTTTGCTTGAGCAACTTGAAACTATGGAGAGGAATTGGCCCTCTACAGCCTATCTTTCCCTAGTATGTTAGGTCTTTGAAGAGATTCGCCTTAAGATGTGTTTGGAAATAGCTGGCCATAATATGACCTTGAGACAGTTGGCCCTAGTATTTTAACTTTGAAGTAGCCGGCCCCTGATTAATTGACTCTTGGGGTGGTTTTCCCCAGATTGAATGAGTTTTGGAATTATTTACCCCCAAACTGACGATCTTTGGAGGGATTTTCCCATGAACAATAGTGTCTTTAGGTAATTTTCCCCATAGTTGATCGATTCTCAAAGAGATTTACCCTACTCAATATGGTCTTGAGGTAATTTTCTTATAATGGGACTACTTTCAAATGATCCAGTTCCTCGATGATTGTGCATTGTTGGAACTTCCTTGATACTAAGTGTTGACTTGCAAATAAAATTATTCTTTTAAGAATTGTAGTTCTAATGCAATGCTCAAGCAAATTTTGAAATCGAAAGTTGTTCATTGAGATAACATTTTCATGTACAGTGAAGGGGTAAATAGTCTAAGTGAACCGTTGATTTAGATATTCAAAGGGTGAAAACAGTGATATCATGATACAAATAAAGAGATTCACAAAGATCTTATGAGTCAAATAAATGCAACATTGTTGTAGTATGCTTTCAACATAAACCTTGCCTCAATTATGTCTTTTGAGGGTTGTAACATGGTCTGGTTCACTCTTTTTGAACAAAAGTATATAAGGCTCAAAGTTTGATTTTAACCCACCCCATTCTTCTTGATGATCTCTTGTCCTACGTTTAGATAATTCGACACATGCATTCAACTTCATATAGAATTTTAGAGGTGTAAATGTGATGGTTCGAGAACCAATGAGGTTTTCTTGAAGTGGCTGTCACTTACTAGGTAGTAACAAAAGTTTTTTTTGTCAAGGATTTTGGTGAATTCTTTTGACTTTTTCTATTATTATTATTATCCATAACTTTTTCCTAGACCGCTTCTTTGAAGCTCTCAGTCCATTGGGATTCCTTAATTTCTACCTAAGTTGTTTTTTCAACTGTTCAACTTATCAAGCTTTTCTTTCTTTTGTTTTTTTCTTTCTTATTGAAAGATTGTGACTGCTTTGTTATTGGTTATTAAGGAACAACCATTGTGAAGTTTTGAATTTTTACAATCTCTTCAACGTCGAATGATGTGTATGGGGAAGAATATGTGGTTAATCCTCAGATGGGATATTTTTCTTTGGAAATTTGAACGCATGGTCAAATTAACTGAAGATTACCTTGCCCTTAGTTAAGAATAAAGGGTTTTTTCATACAGAAAGAAACAAAAACTTCTAGGCTCAAAGGGTTGACTAAGGATTAACTCCTTATATCTTTGGTGTTTGGGGATTTGAAATAATGCCTTACATCGTCAACAAGGCTTTATTCAAAATAATACCTTAGCCACTTTGGTTATTTTATTTTCATCGTTCCCCCTCTTATCTTTCCTTAAACAATAATTTGACAAAGACAAGTGAATGGGAGAAGTATTAACACACTTTTTTTTTATTAATTTTTTTTGTAATAAAAATGGAAAAACGATTGAACATAAAAGCATTTGCGATAAAAAATGGAAAAAAAAGTGAACACAAAAGAATTGAATAAAAAAATACATGCTTATTTCATTATTATTCCCGTATAAAAACAATAAGTTTACAAGCAAGTCACATTTAATAAACGAAGAAATCGGAAACGAAAATGATAGCCTAATGATACCTTAATGATTGTCAGGGTCGGGTAAGATCTATCATGCTTGATTGATTGATTGGCCTTTTACCCACTAAAAGACTGGGGTTAATATTTTTGTCACGAAAAATAAGGTGCTTCAGGCTTCCTCATAATTTGTCCCCAGATTATTCAAGCTTTCTTCTTCTCCATACTTCTCTGACTTTTGCTGCATCTGGAAGGCTGTCGTTGATTTTTTCCATCTTTTGATTCAGATTTAGCTCATATACTACAGCATTTTCCCCTTTTTTAAAAATAAAAATAATAACTTTCTCCCTAGAATAGTCGCCAGCTACCGTGGCACAAAAAATACCCAAGCTTACTAACGCTCGAAATAACTACAGAGTTGCCACCAAATTTTTTATTTTAAATGGAAACATCGATAAAACCCTTTTCGGAAGAAAATGGTCACCGCAACCAAATTGGGTTCGAGAGTCGGTTATGTGTGGGGTGGGTATTAGCACCCATTGCATCTGTTGTACTCAACGAGAACCTTCTAATTAGTTTTACAAAAATGAAAAAAGTTAGTTTTTTTTATTAATGTGCTCGACAAGATTTCAAAATCTTGCTCTTACTTATTCCCAGGTGCAATGGGAAAATCAGAGCCTTGTAGTTCTTGGTAGAAAATATTTGTTTGTAGGTTGTTTCTAATTGCGAAAGAGTTTGTTTGGTTGTTGA